GCTGTCATTTTTTTTTTTTTATTACAGGATCCTAAAATTAGCATAAGTTTCAAGATTTGCAATTTAATTGGGTAATTAGTGGGATCATATATCATCACTCCCTTTTTTCCTTTTCTTTTTTGGCAAATCCACTCATTGTTAGAGCGATTGTGACTTAAATTTTGGTTTTTCTATATCCAATTGTCACATTGATTGTACGGTTTTTCTTTTTTTTTCTTTCATTTTTTGCAAGAAGCTCCAAGAAACGAGTTTACAATAGAGGTTGCGGAGCTTTTGCCACTTCTCTTTACTAGACCTTTCATATATTTCCCGAAGGAGTTGATAGTAGTTTAATGTGTCATTGCAATTAAATCACGTGTTTAGGAGCACTTAATCTTCTATTTTGTACTATGTACATTGTGAATTGGGGATAGTTCTGGCATACTGAGAATACTAAATGGCACAGTTTGAATACCACATGCTCGGTTTCTTACTATTTAAACAGCTTATTGATAAGGATTTCTGTGATTTGTTGCAGATAATGTTTGGTTGCGGCACCTTTCCAAGGAGATATTTTAAAATTGGCTACTTTTTATAGGATTGCACCGGTTCTCCTGCTAGGCTGTTCAGCAAGCCCATTCTTGAGCAGCACAAGCCTTAGTTGATTTTGTTGATAGTCTTAGGGATAGAAGAGTGGTTGCTACACGCACCACATATATATGGTTCTTCTTACCCTAGACTTGCTAGTTTTCCTTGTTGTGTTTTATGTATGTCGTGAAACTGATATCCTTGCTATTAATGAAGTTACTCCCTTTGAGATTTTATATATTAAAGAAGTGTTCATGGCACATTTTTTGGCTCAGCATCATCTTGACCCCTGCACTTTGACCTCAATCTCACTTACAGAATTCTTCTTATGAAACCTTTGCCATGATTAATGTGGAGTAGTAGGGGGTGGATCGTTTTTTTTTTTTTGCTAGGCCCATCTGGTTTGAGACTGATTGATCATATGCCCCCAACCCACTGTCTATCTCTCTGTTTATAGTTGGGACCTTGGTTTCCTACTTCTCAAAGGTTGAAGCCAACAAAATAAAGTGTCTCTCATCTTTAGCCTAGAGGTTGAAATTCCAAGCCCATTTTTCATCTTTGTGTCTCTCGTTCATATTTTTGCTGCATTCATTGGTGCATTAATTTGGAAAGCTGCCAATGAAAAGTCGTTTATTCTCATCCATCTCAAAATGCTACATTCAATCCTCTTCCATGACCTCCAACCTTTCTAACACCCCTAGAAGACAATATGGTTCTGATATTTCAAAATTGTTTGCTCTTTTTGACAACTCCAGAAACCATAGCCATCTCTAATTATTCTTGCTTGGAAGTTCTGTATATTTATTGGGGGTAGTGTGTTTATTTGTTTGGTTCAGTCCTCTGTTCCCACAATTCAGTACCATCCTAAGGAACTATGAGCACATCCCGACAATGGTACACTAACATTCCAAATACAAAATTCACTGATCCTAAGCGATCTTGATGCTTTTCCTGCTTATTTTCTTACCATTTTGCCAAAGGAGACCAAAATAAAATATAGTCAACTAAAAATATATATATATATATATAGGCAACCAAAATAAAATCTGTCAAAGTGCTTCTAAAATGCGTTAATTTTACAACAGAAATTCGAAAAATAACACTCCACTCATTGAATTGTGATCTCTTCTTGTACCGTACTCTATAGAAGTCTTCCCTCATCGTACCATAATTGAGGGCATGTGGTATGCGCTTTTCTAGTTAACATAGGTGCATATTAATGGGGTATTGCATTTTTTTTGGATTCGTTCAGAGGTAGACAGTTATTACCATTACAAGAATGCAATGATCACGATTAAAATAATTCATCAATGTATAAAAAAGAGAAAGACATTTGAAATATGTAGTTTTCTGTATTATTTACAAAAGGGTAACAATCACACAAACTACTACAAGCATTGGGGCACTTAAATTTAAATATTTTAAGGGCGGGACGGATTTTGTCATACCTTGACCCGAAAAATTACCAAACGACGGACCCCGCCTTGAACATCGACCTGATAATGCAGGGGTGCTCCCGTTCCCGCCCCGGTCAGGGGACGGGTTTACTCGCCCCTCTCAGCCCCGTAAAAAATCAGAAAAAATTGTTTGCTAGGAATAGTTGCTCACGGTATTAAAGAAAAATGAGAGAAAATAGTTATGTATAGGTGATATTATAGTGTAACGGCGAAAATATAAGGGTAAAATAATTACTTTTTGTACAACGGAGAAATATAAAGGTAAACTATATATTTTTGGTATAAATGATAAAAATATAACGATAAAAGTATATTTTTTCAGTATAAACTTCAATATATAAGGATGAAAATACAACTTTATGACTAAATAGTAAATACATTCCCGGGTGAGGTCGGGGCGCGTAATGGGGCAGGGTAAAATCACCCCGAATCCCAAACAAAAGCGAACAGGGAAATTGTGATCAACAAACACGTACCAAAAGATAAAGTACTCATGAAACCAGCAGTTAATGTAAACATGGCGACAATCTGTAGCATTTTGGCTCCATTTTGAAAAAGTACTCGAATTTGGTGGGTATGATGTGGAAAGCATCGATCTCCAGCTTTATTTCTAAGGCTTTGGGTGCAAACGTGATATACATGTTAATGCATCATTACATCTTGAAACAACAAAACCCCTCATTGACATCATTGTTGACTCCAAGTCTTTCCCCATGATATTTTGGAAAAGTTGTGGTAGATATAAAATGGATATACAAAATTATTTTCAAAGATTTTAAAAATCTTTTATTGTCGATAAAAAAAAAAAGGGTATACAAAATTAAGACCCGCTCTAACGGCTCTTTTGAACGGTACAAAGCCTGCTTGGTTGCCAAGAGGTTTAACCAAGAATATGGCATTGACTATGAGGAGACTTTCTCTCCAGTTGCTCGTCTTACCTCTGCTCGGAGTCTAATTATTATTGCCGTTGTTCGTTAATTGCAACTCTATCAGATGGACGTCAGAAATGCCTTCCTCAATTGTGATCTCATTGAGGAAGTCTATATGAAGCCCCCTCCTGGGTATGCTCATCCTCCAAAAAAGGTCTGTAAGCTTCGTCGTGCCCTCTATGGCCTTAAACAATTAAGTTCCATGGTTCGCCAAGTCCACATGATTCTGCTCTATTTATTCACCATGGATGATAGTATTGACATCACTGAAGGAATTTGGGGTCTTCTAAGCTACTTCTTGGGCCTTGATATCTCTTCGGATTCCTTTGACTAATGTTCGATATTTAAGTATAAAAAGCTATTGAATAATGTTCTCATATTGTGAGCTATTTGTGTTCTTTACTTTTCGTTTAAGACTTGACCCTAGTGCCATACAATCCTAGATATGCCATGGTGGTGCTTGTAGAAACACTAAAGATATTAAGTACTGAAAGCAGCCATTATTCTATTCCGTTTGACAAAAAAAGAAAATGAAAGCAGCCATTATGTAATATATATGTCAAAATTAAGTGGGCTTTGGTTTCTTCCCTTCTTCCTCGCAAGGATCCCGAACAGAACTGCAAGGCTTGTTGGTGCGACTGGATTGATCCTTCCATTATACAACTTCATTTCGATTTTAATTCCCTTCACTGGTGCATTTTGACAAAAGTAGAAGTTGGACCTTTGGTGGTTATCTTTCAAAGGCTTTGGGTGCAAACGTGATGCACATGTTAATCCATCATTCCATCTTGAAACAACACCACCACTCCTGGACAACATTGTTGACTCCAAGTCATGCCCCATGATGTTTTGCAAAAGTTGTGGTAGATAAAATGGGTGCCATTCATCCGTAATTAACAGCACTAAAATACACAGACTGCAAATTCTCAATAGCTTGCTTTGTGTTTTTACAGCTTCCTCTTGTTCTTTAATTTTACTTACGGAGATGATCATCACGGGCAAAAGCTCTATTCAATTTTTTTATTGAATGAGGTGCCGTTCTACTTTTGTGGAAAAATAAATTTTTGAAAAAGAAGATAATTTCAAGCTCAAAAATCATGTGTTTACGCAAATAATTTTCTTACCAATATGATCTTGTTTGATAGATCTCATCGAGATCTTTTAAACGGTGCAAAAAAAATTAAAAAATTATTTTTTATTTTCATTATATTTGAGCTTGAAATTACCTTTTTTTTTTGAAAAAGAAGATTTTTGGAGAAAGTGGAACGGCTCCTGATTTTCTCAACAATTTGTACAATATAAGCAGTTCAAATCATAAGGATAATGAGCTCACAATTATCTCACATTTCTTTAGTATTCATTCAGTATTCAGGATTCTAAAATCTGAATGAAAAATTCAATGATTGGATGAATTTTATTTATAATTATTCAACTGATTTGATTTTTAACAAGGTCACTTAGAAAATTATTTTAGAATTATTCAACGGCTCGGATCATTTGTGTGAGACCCTGAAGTGAGCCCCAAGCAATTATAGGTGCGAGAGAGATGAGCGAAAGGTAAAGGCTTGTGAGCTTGGCTCCCAAAACGGTGTGGTTTTGGGGTGCTGCAAATGACAGAGAGAAAAAGGCACCGCAGGGACTCGGCTCTCGGACTTCTTAAGCCTATTTTAGATTATTTATTGTCCTGATTCAAATTTTGTTCGTATTTGTTAGTTTTTTAGTTAATTTGTTATGGATTATTGCCTTGTCATGCCGAAAAGAATCTAAAAAAATAAAAAATTACGTTCGAAATCCAAAACTTTTTTAAATAAAGGCAAAAATGAGCTAGTAAGCCAAATTTTTTCGTCTTTATTCAAAAGAATTTGATTTTCGATGTTAATTTTTTACTTTTTAGAACCCTCTCGTCATGACGACACAATAACTCTAAAAAAAATTGACACAAAAATAACAAATGCCACTAGATAATGACTTCCTTTTGCGGAGAAACTCCGGGGCAACTTCTTAGTCTTGCACTTGGTCAGTCAATCATAAACGACTGACAACCACTGCTTAGTGCAGTTGGTAAGTCATTGCCTCCCTTTTGTGGAAGGTCTTGGGTTCAAGCCCCACAGGGGGCAGGCCCTTTAGGGGGCCAGGGCTATGGAAAGCTTCTGGTCTCCCCGTGCTAACTCTAACTCCCCCACTAACCCCCGCTGACGTATATCGCTGTGGCCAAAAAAAAAAAAAAGTCAATCATAAACGACTTCCTTTTTTTTTCTTTCGGAAAAACTTGGGCCCAAGCATATCTTTTATGCAACTGACGATATTACTTTTTGGAATTTTGAAGTCTTGTACTCCTTCCGTTGTAATTCCAAGAGATCTCAAGTGATGAATTTTGGGGCTTCTGTGCTTAGGTTTTTTTTTTTTTTGTATAAGTTAAACGAAATAAGATCTTAGTTTCGAGTTCTGATCCATATTTACTTAAACTTCTTTGCGAAAGCCAAATTTGGGAGCTTTGACATGAATGGAGGGTCTCATGGCCCTATTTTTTGTTGGTCTTTGTGGTTTTTCGGTGTTTAGTTGACATCTTACCTTCTTTTAGGTCTTGAATGGCTTAGTGACGGTGTGCCCTTGATTCTTTTAATCTTTGTAATTTTTTATAAAGATTAATAAATTCTTTTTGCTTTTAAAAAAAAAAACATCAAACATGCTTTCCGCTGGTTGTTGGCCTTGGAACACCGATAGTCACATGCCGCAGGGCAATCTGTCATGGAAAAACATCACATTAGTAAACTACTAATTCAGTAATAATAGACAACAAAAAGGGGAAATGGGTGAGTCCAATAAGTTTGGATCCTACCATTCCCTTTGTTGGGTTTGTCGATTAGTGCATTAACATGGAAAATTTTAGTTTGATAAATTAAAACATCGATAGCCAGATATTCGCTGTAGATATGCCCCCAACATGTGACTATTGACGTTTGATCGGTTTTTTATATTAGTTAATCACTTGACAAACCATCATGAAACTTCAAAATCAGCTCTGGTTGAACTCACCAAACAAAACCCATGTCCAAGAAAAATGAGTTAAAACGGCATAATAGATATACGTTATGTATATAGATAGTTTTTATCTAACGGAGGTATGCCGGTATCTAGTTTGTAACCACGTTTCCACATTGATGTGAAAAGTATTGAAGGTTGTGGTATGCCGGTATCTAGTTCGTAACAACGTTTCCACATTTTCTAAAGCACAAAGAAACCCAAATCAATCGACTCGATCCAAATGGAAAACTAAATTATCCTTTGTTTGAAAACCACATTACAAGTTAGCTGAGTGTGGCGGGCATGGCTCGGCGGAGTGAACCAGGCGATGGCCCCGTCACGGTGACTAGTCTGACCCGTGGACTTAAGGATTGTATGGACCGGCGGTGCACAGTTTTCACTATGCCTTTGTCGAGCCAGTACTGCCGGACCAAGATTGTGACTAGTTGGGGAGACCATGGACCTGGGTACGGGATATATAGTTGGTTATGACCCCCTGTTCGGCGGCGTCCCACCGAACTAGCTGGTAATTCTACAAGAGCTCGAATGCAGCCGGGTTACGGGAAATGGCAGAACTGACAACCACCGAGCCCCCTGCTCCCTGACTTGTAGAGGAAGTCAAGAAGAGTCGAGTAGGTGTGACAGGGCGTGGAACCGTTTTCCCAATTACACGAGCGGATCGTGGAGATTGTGACAGGCCTTAGATTGCGGGCCTGATTTGGCGCCACGATTGACAAGCCAACCATCGAGCGCGTGGTGCATGCGCGTGGGCCGGTCTCCACGTTTTGCCTTTGCCTATAAAATGAGTAATCCACGTTTAGAGTAAGGTAATGCATTCTACCTCCCCAAAACCCTAAACATTGTCTAAAAAGCTCCTCTTCCCCCTTACTTATTTGACTGTCGGAGTGCCTATCCCGGACTCCCCACGATCCGGGTTTGGACACTAACGCGGGTACTAAGTGTGCAGGTCCCAACCACGCACAGGACACCAACCTAGGGACCATACAAAAGGGTTCTACTGGAAAAAGCACGGCACCACACTGAGTAAATGAAGGACGCACTGAACATGGTGGTTCCTCGAAACTTAAATGAGCATTCAACTGCTCCTTGTTCCCATCAACTTTCTGAATTATTGATTACTGGGGCCTATGCCCTCGTTATAGTGTCCACCAGTGGGAACACATATACTTGATGAGTCATTTTCTCAAGTCTTTGCCTTCCTTTGCCAAGTCTTTGTTGATGGAGACGTAAAAGTAAAACTATTACTTGACGAGTAAATAGTAGTAAATATTTACTTGACGAGTAAATATTTTAAAATTGAGCCTTATAAAAAATATTGTATAATCTGTCAGTACTCTCTCTTCACTTTTAATGTACCGACAGTGTGTATCATTCCACTCCAAAGAAAAGAGTAGTGTATCACTCCGATACTTTGCAACCAAGTTAAGTTACCGACAAACCTCTTGTCCATGAGTACCTTTTTTGCTCTAACTTAAAAAGTTGGAGGCGGGGGCAACCGGACATAGCTACCCTCCCTCTCTCTTCTGGGCGTGATCATAGGGACTCCAGACCTGCGGTGAATCCCGGGAGGGACCAAAGCTCCATAGCAACTATCGTCCCACCAAAGACTAGCGGCCCAAAGCCGGACAGAAAAGAAGGACCCAAATTCGAGAGGGGCACCGCTGGCACAACCCGAACTTGATACCTCCTCCGGACAAGACAAGATTGTATTATAGCCATAATTGACTTTGACTTGAGTTACAGCCATAGATTTGCAAATTGAGAGATGTCTTTGTCATTCCAAACTTTTCCCACATACAATTTCTTGAGGTTAAAATCGCAGTTATTACTAAGCAATTGCATAGCTTTTGTCCATCCTTATATTGCCAAATCCGAGCTGTCCAAAATCGAAATTGACGGCTTGGATACGCTATTCGGGTATCACGTGGTGCACGCTCGGCACCCAAAACATTCTCGGCTTTTAGAATTTCCAACCTTTCGACCAAGAAAAGTCCAAATCCACTCGATGACATCATTGTTGACTCCAAGTCTTTCCTCATAAGTCATAACATGCATGCTGGAGATTTTGTCGTCCAATTAAAAAATCTACCTAGCTCCGTCCTGAAAATGTTTCCCCTTGTGTTAAAAAGAATGCACTTTGTGGAAAAAAATAAGAGAAGAAAATTTAATCAATCAAAATGATGTAGAACACGTGGAGGCCCAATTCCATGATCAGCTGGACCGAGCCAAGCCTCGGAAGCCCAAACGGTGTTTAATTTCAGATTACCCAATTTGGCAACATTCGGACGAGCTCGGAATAAGCCCAAACTTGGTGGGCTGACTTATTTTCGCGCTCCGGTCAATAGTCATTAACCCATGGTTGATGATGTGAACTGCTTTTCGGCCTAATTCCTTCGTTTAGGCCTTCAATTGGACGTTTTTGCCGTTTTAGGAAATATTTGTTTCGTTAATAACTTTTAGCGTATAATTCCGTAGAAGTTGATTCTTTTTGGGAAAGTCATGTTTTTCTTCCCTTTTTCCAATTTTATTATTTTCCCCAAATTTTGGGAATTTTCGTTTTTGAATTAGGGTTTTGCTAGGGTTACGCCTTTTTTCCTATAAAATGGTTGTAACCTAATGTTTATGCAGCTTTTTATCAATAATATTCAGACTTTGTCTTTTTCTCTCGTGGACTCGAGTTTATCATTCGTTCGATTAGTACGCAACTAATCTCTTTGTTAATTCCGCTGCGTCACAAAATGAGTTATTTCCAGCAAGTGAGCGGTGAGATTGGTCCCCAGAATTAGTTGAGGTATTTGTAAGCTGACCTTGACACCATTGGTTTCTCCCTCGGATCGGGGTGGTGCTTGACGATTTCCTAGACCTAAAATAATGGGTTGCCCCAAGCGTAGGGCGGAGACCGACGTAGCATAATATCCGGTAAGTCAGGAGTCGAATCCACAGAGACGGTGATTTGTGCTGACTAAAAACTCGGGTTGTTATAATTTAAACGGGCTCTTAGGTAGCCACCCCTTGTCGTTTTGATTGAGATTAACTAAACTTACGAAAAAATTGAACTTTTCAGGTAATTAAAAGGAGGTATGGTCGTAGGGTTCATAGCACTCGCAACCATTCCGGATTAACCTGCTTTGTTAGAGTTCTTAAAAACGTTAATTTTAAGATTGCAAAAGATACCCCGAAAGATGCGAAACCCTATGGTCGCCGTATACCCATGCGCAGCGGAGAACGAGTTTTGGTCCCCCATTCCCCCGTTCACATGGGCTCCGTCGATGCCCGGGTTCGTCTCACGAATGTTCTCAAATAACCTAAAATTGCTTTTTCATTATTTGAAAATAGGAGCAGTATCCGAACTGGCCACGACGTGCTAATCACCCTGCGATCCTACCAATACGACTACTCACTAATCATTACGCAAGAAACAAAAGAAACCCTAGTTTGAAACATGCTTCTATTACGCAAGATAAAAAATAAACAAGAAATCAATACTAAAAAAAACATAAACGAATAACTTTTATTAAGAACAGAAATTGAAACGAATTACCGGAGTGCGAATAATTGAAAACTAAACAATATAAATCTCGGCAGTCGGCAGCCGGCAGCCCCGTTCTTTTTCTTCTCTGTTTCGTCCGTTTTTCAAAAGCTGCGTCAGTCAGTAGGTAGGTATAAGATTGGTTTTATAGGAATTGAAGACATTAATCACATAGTGGTCCCTTGGGCTTTGTCTAATATTAAATGGAGGCCCCACTTTAGAAAGTTATGTGTTTCGACCCCAAACTCCATTTTGTGCACAACATATGGCTAGAATTTGATCAACTCTCATCTTTGAGGCAATGCTCCGTAAGACCTTCCAAATTACACGTTTTCGCACTCATTGGTCTCCAAGGCCTACAAACACTATAAAACACTAAAATATATCAAGTAACAATATAAATGGACCAACAAAGCGTAGATTAGGTGGATTAAATGGGTGCTTTTCAGCACCTATCAGGTGGCATTTGATTGGTGGACAATTTTTTTTTGGGATGGAGAGTAGACAAAATGAGTGTCTTTTCTTGGGTTAACAGAACTACAA